CCTGAGCTTTCAGAGAATTTATTCACAACCTTTGGTGCAATTCCTATTTGGGATTCATTTTTTAGAAACAGGGTTGTGTCGTCAGCCAGCTGTGATATTTTTATTTCTCTTTCGTTTAATGTAATTCCTTTGATTGAACTCTTGTGAATTAGGACACAAAGGATTTGGGCTACAATCAAAAATAAAAGAGGCGATGTGGGGCAGCCTTGGCGGATCCCTTTCTTTATGTAAAATCTAAGTGAGGTTCCATTCGCCAATTTAACACAACTGTTTCCTCCCATGTACAGAGTTTTCACAGCATTAATAAAATTCTGATCAAAATTAAAACATTTTAAAGTGTCAATAATAAATTTGTGGCTTACCGTGTCAAAAGCTTTTTGAAAGTCTAAGAATAGGATAAGGTGTTCATCATCTAGAAAGTCTTTGTATTCCATCAGATCCAGAACTAAGCGAATGTTATTGGCTATGTGACGGTCTTTCATGAAACCAGATTGGCATTCATCAATTAAAGTGTGTAATTTAGATTGAGACGTTTTGCAAAGATAGATGCTAGAATCTTATAGTCATTATTTAGCAATGTAATGGGTCGCCAATTTTCAATTAGTAGAGAGTCTTTGTGAGGTTTTGGAATAAGTGTTATGACGCCTTGCCTCAGAGAGGGAGGGAGTTCCCCTCTGTCCAGAGATTCTTTGAAGACAGCTAGGAGAAATTTACCTAATGACTCAGAGAAACATTTATACATCTCAGAAGTGAGGCCATCACAGCCTGGTGATTTATTGTTCTTTAACTGAGTTATTCCCCAATTAATCTCCTCAATAGTTATGTCCTGACAACAGATTTTATTATATTCTTCATCCACACAGTTAGGTGAGTCAATAAGGTTAAAGATTTCATTTGGATCTTTGAGATTATTATCTTTTGAGTAAAGTTGTTCGTAGAAAGCACATATATAGTTTGATATTTATTTACTGTCCTCACTAATTTTTCCCCAATATTAAGTTTTCTTATAGTATTGATTTCTTGTCTTCTTTTTTCCATGGTAAAGAAATATCTGCTGTTTTTCTCTCCCTGTTCCATCCAATCCTACGTGACCTTATAAAAGCTCCTTTTGCTTTGTTCTCATATAAAACGTCTAGTTGATTTTGTAAGTCTAATAAGGCATTGTTATCTTCTTGGCTCAGCTGCTTTTTTTCAGTAAGTATGTTTATATTGTTGATTAGCGTGTATGTTATGTTCTTCTTTTTGTGTGCCATTATCTTGCCATAACCCGAGCAGACGCCTCTAATTTTGTATTTGAGAAGTTCCCATGATGTCCCAAAATGATTCCCTTTTCTTGCAGCTCCCATTGTTCTGAGATAAGGAGTTCTATTTTCATTTTTAGTTCCTCATGAGATAATAGAGAATTATTTAATTTCCAGTAACCGCTGGAGAATCTCCCTCTTTGTTCCTTGCTGACCTGAATAGATAAAGAGATGGCCTTATGGTCTGTCAGAACAGCAGGAGAGACAGTGCATGACTCAACGGAGGGCTCTAACTCAGCCGAGATCAACCAGAAATCTCTTCTGGACTGTAGCGTATGGTTTCTGTTGCTCCACGTGTATGTTTTCAACAATGTATTTTTTTCCCTCCATATATCAATGAGATCCAGTCTTTTTGTAAAGTCAATTAGTTTTTTTGAGTTTGGAGCTAGTTTTGGCGGGCACCTGTCTAATTGGTTATCCATAACCATATTAAAGTCACCGCCCAAAATAACCTTAGCTACAGGATATTTAGACATCAGCTCATTTAAAACCGAGTCCAGCTCCTCCAAAAGTTTCGAATTATGAGAGAGTGAGCAGTGCCCATAGACGTTGCCTAAAATAAAAAATGCATCTTCCAAACAGGTAATAGTAATAATCCAGTGACCATTGGTATCCCTAACGGTATTAACAACCTTTCCTTTAAATTTATGAGTGAGAGTAGCAACCCCTGCTGAGTGGTTGGATCCATGAGTCAACCAGATGTCCTCTCCCCATTGACTCTTCCATAACTTTTCGACCTCTTTACATGAGTGAGTCTCTTGGATGAAAATAATATCAGCATCGTAGTCCTTACAAAAAATGAAGATGGCTTTTCTTTTAACAATGTTTCGTAGTCCTCTGGCATTTGTAGAAAGTAGTTTCATCAACCTCTAAAGAACAGTTCTCTTTACGAGAGAAAAACAACCTAAGCAATAACAGCTTCTGCCTCTTAAAAGTGGATTTGGAACATTTTAAAGTAATTACAGAGTGCTTGTGTTATTCATAAATGACTGATTGGGTTAATATAAAGTATAATATGTATTTATATATGTATGTATATTATTATTAGTTATTATTAATATATAATAAAACCCTGCGAGAGGATGGAATTCAGCCCTCTGAATAGATATAGCGTTAGCCAACATAGGTATTAGAACAGTTACCTGAACAGATGTTCTTACCCCTTAAAACAGCCACAGAAAGATAGGGCACAGGTTCAGAGTTTACAACAACGTCCTAGTGTAGCTCATTAGGAACCCTCTTAAAGGATCTCCACATCCTCTATGAAGGCTCGGGTTCCTCTGAAAAAAGCTCGCTTTCCTTGTTTCCTCGCTTCTTCGATGCGGGGCCACAGCCTCTCTCGGGTCTTCTTGTCAGCCTGAGTGAGATCCTCGCCAAAGCGGAGCCTCTTCTCCCTCAGGAAAGTGTGGTTTCGTGCATTTTTCCAGATGTCGTCCCTCGCTGTGCGGAAGGCGAAGAGGATGATCACGGAGCGAGGATGCGTGTTGCCAGCGTCCCTCCTTCCAATTCGGTGTACGACATCAATGGCTTGATTCATATTTTGGTTAGGAGCAATCTGCTGACAAATGTCTATCACCTTTCTTTTTACATTTTCCTCCTTTTCCTCTGGTAGCCCATACAGCCTTAGAGACCATCTCCGCCTGTATCTTTCAGTCTCAGTGAGCCGAATTTCCATGAGTTTTATAGTTTTTTCATTACTGTTGCAGAGCTCAGATAACTTTTTGTTGTCATTTTTCAAAGCTTCGATTTCAGCGAAGGCAAAATTCATGGAGGTTTTCAGCTCTTCGATGCCTGACTTGTTGTCTCTTACCATCAGTTCCAGGTTATCAGCTCTCTGGTTAACTGCAGCTAGAATGTTAGCCTGAAGATCCTCCAGGGACAAGTCGCTCTTTTCTTTCTTTTTACTTTGAAGGCAGGGCTGGAAGAGGGGCTACCAACCGGTGTAGCAGCCTCCGAGTCCGTTGAAAAGTCGTCGTCCATTTTCCCGCCGTTGTTTTCTTTTTGGCTAGCAAGGTAGTTGTTATCCGTTAGCTTCAGCACTTGAGCTCTGTCTTTGCATTTCTGTTTCCTATTTTGCTTTTGTTCGGACATACTATGGCGAAAGAACGTTTCCGACTGCAATAATGTAGTTCCACCGTCGTTAACAGCAAAGTTGGGAGGACAGAAAACTGTTATTAAGCAAACCGCTCTGTGGATGCGACTGAGCGCTGCTCCGCCATCACGGGAAGTCGTTTAATCATTACTTTGTACTCTTCGTTTCTACCTTCTGTTGAAGCTAGATGTTGCTCATTATCGGTTTCCTCTGAGTGAGAACTCTCATTTTGCTTACTCTTTTTCCCCCGTTTTCGTTTGCTATTTCCCTTTTCCACAATTTTCCATTTTCCATTTCTGCCGCCGCCATTTTCCAATAATTTAGTTATATATTATTGAACACATCTTTGTTACTGCCATCTGGTTAATGCTTGCATTTCAGATATTATACTGTATTGTTGGTTTGGACATCAGGGCTCAGTGGATTGACATTTAATGCAATTGTAGCCTATTGGAATATAAGATTATTCCCTTCAGCTGAAGGGGAAAAATAAGTCAAATTTATAGACTCACTCAGTTGTAGGAAGGTCTGGAACACCAGAACTTCACATGAATTAAACCAGCTGCCATGATTGCTGGATTTTATGATGGGATCTATAATCCAATATTGTCTGCAAAATAATGGAACCTGATGTTGTGTATTAAAAATAATTTGATCTGAGAGGACCTAGGATTGAACCCTGTGGTACACCACAAGAAATCACATCCTGACAGAAAAACTGAGAAACTTCTTTTATAAAGATGAGAACAAAAGCAATGAAAACCTGAGTCTGATGCCAACCAGTTTATAGACATGCTTCATTCAAACTGTGAACATGCTTTTCTCCAATACTGGAGTACAACAGTACATACAGTATATTGACAGTAATACATAAATTTGTTCAAGTTGAAATAAATCCAGACTTCATCATCACACTGAAGTTTAACAGTGTGTGACTCCCTCTAGTGGACGTTGTGGAGTATTCTGTTGTCTTTGCTCCAAAGGTTTTTGTACAGAGTTTTGGTGTTTCCTGTCACTGTGGGCTGCAGAGCACAGTAGTACACAGCAGAGTCAGTCAGCTGAAGCTTCTGGATCTTCAGAGGAACTGATGTCTTGTTGATAGTGGCATCAACTCTCTCTTTCTCTAAAGGGGTATCCTGTGTTCCAGAGTACCGTTGCAGCATAAACTTTGGGTAATCATTTTCTTCTTGTTTGTACCAGAACAAATAGGAAGATGTAGCTGTTGTCTCAAAAGTACAGCCAAGTGTAACTGTGTCTCCTTCAGCAGCAATGACATCTCCTGCTGGCTGGGTCACTCTGTCTTCTCCTTTACACTCTGAGGAAGAAGACAACATGCAGAGGAAGAGATGGATCAATAAAGATGATTGATTAAAGGAGAACAATCAGTAGGTTTAAAGAGTTACCTAGCCAGAGAGTCAGAATCAGGATGTTTCTCAGCCAGTGGTTCATGTCTGCAGTGAGAGGGGAGGAGAGAGAGGAAGAACATTGATACTCTGATGGATCAGGGCCTTCACATCATTGGCCCTTCCTCTTCATCATCTGTTGAGGAACTCTCAACATTTACATCTCATTTACATCTCAGCTCATCCAGAGCAGCTCATAATGAGGAGCTTTAACATGTGAACTTTCTGTTACAACAAAGTCTCTTTAACCACTTTTCAACCTGGTAGAATGATGAAATCATCACCAGTCTGGAATTTGTATTTGTCTCATCATCAGTGATAGTAAAATGAACTGTGTAGAAGAAGTCTTCCTTGTTGAGTGTCTCGCTGTAAATAGATAGCTGTTGTGTTTTATTAATAACAGGAGTAACATTGTAATGTGTCTTTAGATTGTGTTGTCAGTGTCCACTTGGTGGCGCTGCTGTTCAGTTAAAGGAGGAGCTGAAGTGAGTAAATCTTCAGAGGAGCTGTCAGGTTTTTGAACAGAGTTTTGGTGTTTCCTGTCACTGTGGGCTTCACAGCACAGTAGTACACAGCAGAGTCTGTCACTGCAGCAGAGGAGATCTGCAGATCCAGATGGGTTTTATCATCACTCACTTTAACAGACAGTCCAGGGATTGGATCATTTCCTACTGCTCCTGAAGCAGAGTGTGAGATGAGGAGCCCTGGTGGTTTTCCTGGATATTGTCGATACCAGAAGAAATAATCTCCAACATTTGCTTTTTTAGAGTATGTGTAGGACAGAGTAACAGATCTGTCTTCTAACGTGAACTCTTCATTCCTGACTGGAGTGAGTTCTTCACAGCTGACACCTGAAGGAAAAGATAACTCTGTAACTTTACAATCTAAAGGTTTCTATAATTGAAACTCTCTTAATGTTGATGATCTCACCTACCTCTTATTGTGAGCAGAAACAAAGTCACAAACAGACTGAAGTTCACTGACAGCATCTTCAAGAGAAAGAGAATCTGTCTGGTTTCCCTCCTTCCTCTCACAACTCTGACAAATAGTGAGTTTATCTCTGCTGTGGTGCTGTTATTCACTAAATGACATCATTTCCATCAGGTAACAAGTAGCTGATAAGGTAACACTGATTGACTCTTGACAGAACGTGTGAAGGTCCTGACTGAGGTCAATCTTTACGCAGACGATATGCTACTATTCAATCAACATGACAGCCACATTAACTACTTATTCAGTACTTTACTTGAATAATATTATTCACATTATTACATCTGTGTCACATTTGAGGACAAATCAAATCATGAGAGGAAAATAAATCCCCATTTTCAGCTCAGATTGTTTGCATCTGTCATATTCTCCCCTTTTGGAGTTTTTAAGATGGTGGCGTTAAGGGCGGAGGTAGTGTAACCAGCTCCCATACAAAACCCTAACTTGTCCCCTATCTTGAGTTTCTTAATTACAGAAATGACCCCAGCTTCATACTAATAGAAACCAACGCGGTTCAGCTAAAAATGCCCCCCAAAAGAGCTGAAGCGGCAACAATGGTGGAAAGCCCACTCTATCAGCCTTGGCTAACGCTAGCTCACCCGAGGGAAACACAGAGAAGCCGCTGACCTGGTTTCACAAAGAAATGGAAAAAGGGTTCGAGAAAATTCAATCCATGCTGGACCATAAACTGAACCTCTAGGCGTCTCTGTGGAAACTCTTACCAGTGAAAGAAATTAGCAGTCTTAAAGACAAGCTAGATGATCTGGAGAACAGAGCCAGACAGCAGAATCTAAGGCTGGTTCGATTCCCGGAAGGTGTGGAAGGGATAAACGCCATCCTTCAATAATACTAATACTTCACTAATACTTGACCAAGAGACCGACACTCTGCTCAAAATCAAGCGAGCTCACTTTACACTCCAGTGGCGACCCGATGAAGGTAGCCTCCCCCGGGCTCTAGTTATCCGCCCATAGACGTGATGAAAATCCTCGATGCAGCATGGAAGAAAAGATCGCTCAAGTACGGTAACTCAGACATCATGATATTCAGGGAATGTCCACGGCTCTCTATAAGAAAAAGAAAGCCTTCATGCTGCTGGGGGAAAAAAGCTACATGACAGCAGCATCTCCTTCAGGCTTCTCCACCCCACTAATCTGGTCCTGGACCTCCTGGAGGGACGGTGCACCATCACATCCCCCGTGTTGGCGGGACACTACTTGGGGAAATATCATCCAGACGTACTGGCATGAACCCGTGACTATCATGGTCTCTGGTTTAAGTGACTGCAGTTAGGCACATACAGGACGAATTATGGCCTGGAAGTGTTCTTGTTTATTGTTTGAGTGGACTATAACCTGTTACATGTGAGATAACCCAAGCCTAGATATGTTCTATTTATCTTCTTTCTTCTGCAACTAGTCACAGGATGGATAAATTAAGGCCTGGCAGTATCCTCATTTCACCTTATTCTTATTTCCCCTACCAGACTACCTGTTTATTTGAGTGCAAATTTTCACATACCCTCTGTTCTATATGTAATTTGTAATGCTGTCAGCGACAAATAGTGTCATCTGAACGAACTTTCAGGACTTCTCAAGACTTACTTGAGAGACTGTGGACACCTGCTCGGAGTTATTCTTCTGAATTTACAGAAGCAGAGTTCCCCTTCCACTAGATTATATAAGTGAATTCTGGAGGTGTTTCATAATGGAGTTGTGGCCATTCAACTTTGTACTCCTTGACCTTACTTGGGTGGCTAGCTCATCGTCGGAGGAGACTTTAACCTGGTTCTGGAGCCAGCTAAGGACAGATCCTCTCCAACTTCTAAATCTTTATCCTCAGCAGCTAAGGCCCTTAAAAAAGAACTAGAAAATCTCAATTTAATCGATGTGTGGAGAGTCAGACACAAATCTCTTTGTGAATACTCTTTCTATTCACACGTACATAACAGTTACTCCCGGATGACATTTGTTATGCACGCAGGGAAGGAGCATCTCGTTACCTCGTGCAAATATTTGGCTAAAATACACTCAGATGATGCTCCTCTCCTGCTCCACGTGACCAAGCAGAACCAAAACAAAAAACCCAAACGTTGGAGGTTCCCCATTCATTTGGTTAGTGATGAGGACTTCATCAAATCAAAAAAGTGAGATAACTGTTGTTGTGATTTGGCGCTATATAAATAAAATTGAATTGAATTGAAATCAAATGAACTAATGAACAGATTTCTTTCTCACCACAAATGCAGGTAGGGAATCCTTAATGGCTTATATCAGGGGCTCTACAATTAGCCTCTCTTCTTGGAAAAAGAAACAATGTCAATCTAAAATGAGGACACAAACACCTGTCTGAAACATCCAATCTGCAAACTGTACACAACTTCTGTTGGAGCCCGAAACCTGGTTAAACGTACAGACCCTCACTACCCATAATGCTCCTGTGAATCCTCCCCCAGTGTTTCATTAGCAGCTGGAACCACAGTGACTCTGATAAAACAGGAATTAGCAGAATCCATCTGATATGAAGCTGTGGTTTGAATACCACTTCCCTCCTCTTTGAAGAGTAGTCAGATATCTGGGTTCAGGTTTTTGTACAGCCTCTTCTACACTTTGTATCACTGTGTTACTAGAGCACAGTAGTAGAGAGCTGTGTCTGCCAGGGTTAGATCTCTGATGGTCAGTGTAGTTGATGTTGCTGATGTTTCAGATTCATATCTTCTATCAGGAATATACTTCTGATTACTCCATGATTTTGCTCCTTTCCTGAGTATAAACTGAGGTGCCTGAAGGTCAGAATGATGTCTGTACCAGTGTAGATCTACACCACCTGCTGTTGTCTGATAGTTGCATGTGAGTGTGACAGATTGTCCTTCTCTTTCACTGACTTCCTCTCGTACAGGAGAGATTGTGTCTCCAGCTATTAGTCCTGGAAAAAGTAGAGCAAATGAAGCCATTAGACTAACATTGTTCATGAGGCTGAGAGGAGAAGACAGTGGAAAATGGCAGCTGTACAGTGTTACTCTGTGGACACAAACAGCTCAGCTGTTTCCATAAATCTTTAGAAAAGAATAAAAAGATGTTGTGCTTTCTATCTTACCAAAGAAAAGAGCAGCAAGAATAATCCCCAGCCAATGTTCCATCTCTACAACAAGGTTTAAATCAACAGGAGAAACTAGCTGATGTTCAACATTCAGTCTGAGAATTGTTCTCTTCACAGCAGCAGTTATTATTGACAGAATGGTTGAACACAGTGCAGAAGTAGTGCACCGCCTACTTGATAATGTGGCTCAGCTTGGATTAACAGCAGCTACAGTGTCATCTAGTGGCCAATCAGAATCAGACCACAGAAGAAGAAAAGACGCCACTGAAACTTCAAACTAGTCCAGCAGCATAATCCAGTTGTCAGCTGATGATCTGTTTGTTCAGCATTTTCCAAACTCAACATAGTTAAAGACTCTACTTCTGTGCTGCGTTATCACCTCCCCACATCTCTGAAGTTGTGGATTTACAGCAGCAATTAACAAAGTGATGCTACAAACTGTTGAGTCACCTTTCAAGCTTACAGGTGGAGAGGATTTGATAGTGAAACGAGACATTTTCACTGGAATATTCCTTCAGACTAACAAAACCCACATCTGGATGCTGAGATCAGGTCTAGTTTCTGAGTACAGTCCAGTATCACATACAGAGTCTCACTGGGTTTTACATCCAGCAGCATCAGTGAAGACTCCCCATACTGTCCTGCCTTAACATGGAGGAAAACTGATGGAAACCTCACGACAGGAAGTTCAGGGAGACCAAGATGTCGGTGTGTTAAGATCATCAGGAATTTAAACAATATCTTATCTACATAAATAAAATCACTCTCCTTATTGTCAGTATGTCAGAGCTACAAACACTCTCCTTTTATTGTCAATGCCTCATTTTTCTTCTAGTTTTCATCATCAGTGCAATGAATCCAGACTGTATGATAAACTGAAGTTTAACAGTGTGTGACTCCCTCTAGTGGACGTTGTGGAGTATTCTGTTGTCTTTGCTCCAAAGGTTTTTGTACAGAGTTTTGGTGTTTCCTGTCACTGTGGGCTGCAGAGCACAGTAGTACACAGCAGAGTCTGTCACTGCAGCAGAGGAGATCTGCAGATGAAACTCCTTTGCTGTTTTGTCATGTTTAAAAGAAAAACCTGGTTTCTTTGAATATTCTGCGAGGAAAAACTGTGGAGATGAACTGGACTTCTGTTGATACCAGTAGAGGTTTTGTACAGAGCCTGAATAGTTGCAGGAGAGAGTCACAGAGTCTCCTTCCAAAGCCAGCATTACATCTTTAAATGGTTTCACTAAATCCTCAGAGGATCCTGAAAAAGACAAAGATAGATTTCACTCTGACATTTGTCTATTTTAGCAGAAAATGTTAAAACATTCAAAATTTATTTTCATGTCTACATCTCCTGCTACATCTTTTGATTTCTTACCAGTGTGAAACATGAAGATGATCATCCAAACTAAGCAGAGCTGCATCATTTCCACTTGTACTGAATGAACAATAGAGAGAACACAGCAGCTCTTCACTTCCAACATGAAGCCTTTCATATTCAGTTGTGGAGCTCCTCCTCTTGCTGTGCTCTGTTTCCATTCAGGCTTTAGAAATGACAGTGATGCTGCAGTCATCATCATGGAACTCAATGTTGTCTTTAAAAATAGTGATTTAAGATGTAAATTTATATGAGAGGCTCTAGGATTGAACCTTGTGGGACACCACAAGAAATCACACCCTGAGAGAACAACAGAGAAACTTCTGTTCTAAAGATAAGAACAAAAGTAATGAAGACCTCAGTCTGTGATGCCAACCAGTTTATGGACATACTTCATTCAAACTGCGTAAATGTTTTTCTCCCATACTGAAGTATAACAGTACATACAGTATATTGACAGTGTTACATACATTTGTGCAAGGCAAGGTAAGTTTATTTGTATAGCACATTTCAACAAGGCAATTCAAAGTGCTTTCCATAAAACATAAAAGCAACAGGGAAATATAAAAAAGTTTAAAAGCAACATAAAATATAAAAGTTACAGTGCAGTGTACAATCAGGGTTAAAATAGTTAAATGGAAAATAAAAACAGGCTGAGGGGTTGAGCAAATAATTGAGTTACAATTATTTTGAAACGAGAATAAACGGAGAAGTACACTTAGTCTACTCTCTCTAGCTAGTCTGTACTCGGGTCCATAGCAATCTTTGGGTCTACTGAAACTCCAAAAACCCTCGGACACTACAGAGAAACCAGGACATGTCTGTCCGCAGGCCGCTTTGATCCAGTTATACTCTGGACCCACCTGCGCGTTTACAGGTGGACAGAGATTCCTGCAGATCAAGAGATTTAAGACCACTTCCTTCACTCTGTTCAATCTCACTCTCATTATCTTTTCACTCAATTACCTACTCATTTCTCACTGTGTAAATATTTAATTAAAAGCAATGGTAAAAAGGAAAGTCTTCAGTCTTAATTTAAAAGAACTGTTTCAGCAGACCTGCAGTTATCTGGGAGTTTGTTCCAGATATATGGAGCATAATAACTGAACGCTGCTTCTCCTTGTTTAGTTTTGACTCTGTGGACAGAAAGCAGACCTGATCCCAGACGACCTGAGAGGTCTGGATGGTTCATAACGAAGCAGAAGATCAGAAATGTATTTTTTTTTTCTAAACCATTTAGTGCTTTTTAAACTAACAGCAGGATTTTGAAATCAATTCTTTGACATAAAGACCTCAGAACTGGAGTGATGTGATCCACCTTTTTGGTCTTAGTGAGGACTCGAGCAGCAGCGTTCTGAATCAGCTGCAGCTGTCTGATGGATTTCTTAGGGAGCCCTGTAAGGACACTGTTACAGTAGTCGAGTCGACTGAAGATAAATGCATGGATAAGTTTTTCCAGGTCCTGCTGAGACATAAGTCCTTTAATCCTTGATATATTCTTCAGGTGATAGTATGCTGACTTTGTAATTGTCTTAATATGGCTCCTCAAATTCCGGTCTGACGCCATGACTACACCAAGATTTCTGGCTTGATTTGTGGTTCTTAACATTACAGATTGAAGTCGAGCACTGATTTTCAATTGTTCCTCCCTGGCTCCAAAAACAATAACTTCAGTTTTATCCTTTAATTATTAAAAGGAAATTCTGGCACATCCAATCGTTGACCTGCTCAATACAGTTATTCAGCACTTGTATGGGATCATAGTCCCCTGGTGAAATGGTTATGTAAATCTGTGTGTCATCTGCATAATTATGGTAACATATTTTGTTGTTTTTCATAATCTGAGCCAGTGGAAGCATGTAAATGTTAAACAAAAGAGGTCCCAAAATGGAGCCTTGGGGAACTCCACGTCATTTTTGTCAGCTTAGATGTGTGATTACCTATAGACACAAAGTAGTCCCTGTCCTTTAAGTAGGATTCAAACCAGTTTAGTACTGTGCCAGAAAGTCCAACCCAGTTTTCAAGTCTGTCTAGTAATATGTTGTGGTCGACTGTGTTGAATGCAGCACTGAGATCCAATAATACTAAGACTGATCTTCTGCAAGTTGAAACAAATCCAGACAATAACAGTGTGTGACTCCCTCTAGTGGATGTTGTGGAGTATTCTGTTGTCTTTGCTCCAAAGGTTTTTGCACAGAGTTTTGGTGTTTCCTGTCACTGTGGGCCGCAGAGCACAGTAGTACACAGCAGAGTCAGACAGCTGAAGCTTCTGGATCTTCAGAGGAACTGATCTTGAGGTGGAATCCAGTGTGGATGAAAATCTCTCCTTGTACTCGTCCTCTGTTTTCCCCTCACCGATCTTAAAGCTGCTCAGTATGAATTCAGGGCTGTTGTTTCCATCCTGTTTGTACCAGAAGAGATTATGATTTGATGAACTGCTGTTATATAGACAGCCAAGTGTTACTGTCTCTCCTTCAGCAGCAGTCACGTCTCCTTCTGGTTGCAGCACGTTGTCTTTTTGTGCTCTGCATTCTGTAAAACAGCAACAAACAGTATCAGTGTGCTGTTAAAGAATCATGTCAATGTTGGATTGATATCAGAGAACCAGAGTTGTGTTCATACCAAGGCACACAGCAGCCAGCAACACTGAGATGAACAGAGGCGTCATATCTGCAGTGTTGAGGAACTGTGAGCTCCAGCAAGTATAAAGAAGGCTGTGATCTCTCTGTTTAGTCTTCATCAACACTAAGTTGGTGGATTAGAAGGAGGAGCCTGATCACAGTGACGGGGCTCATTCACAGCCCTGTGTTATTCCCCGACTGACAACTTTACACTCAACACATTTTCCTCACTCTCTCCTTTCCTAGTGTGACAATTAGGATCAATTAGTGAATGTTTTTAATATGGTATCAGCATCATTAAAGGCCTGTCAGTTTGCCAGCCTGTCCACAGCTTCTCCAGATAAAGGGCTAAAATATGAAGCCTGTTCAGAACACATAAGGATCTCCAAAACCAGCTCGGTGGTGTCGACCATTTCAAACAGGATGTTCCACTGAGAGCGAATGGTTAAGAGCTGCTACCACCAGTTTACCACAGTGAAAGCAGAGGCTTCAGCAAACACTCCCTCACTCCCACAATGGGGCAGTCACGTCCTTTCTAGACTCTTCCAAGGGCTGATTTAGGTGCTTCCATCTCTGGAGCTGCCGCATTACTGACAGTGAAAGCAGAGATGTTTGTGTTAATTATGGTTGGACATCTCCCCCTCTAACAAATGAAGGCAGTCTGTGCAAACATGGAGCTTATTCTGTCTCCAAACACTGGTGTGAAACTGGTCATGACTCAGGCTTTGGAGTGAAACATTAAGGTGTTTGTCCATCCTTGTCTGGATGTGAAAGTGCAGTGGGACTCTGGCCGACGTTACATACCAGCTTATTATTACAAGGCATCAAACTTACAGTCCATAATTTATTGTCAGATGTATTTGAACTTTTTCTTTAGTGAGTCTTCTGGAATAAAGAATCGAGTCAAGATGTCTAAGAATTTTATTCTTTACAAAGGCTCAAACAAACATACAGAGTGCAACCAGTAAAGTATTTCCTTTCCCTCAGTTCTGGTTTATATAGCATAGAGCATATCTGCCCTAAATGGTAGGTTTTGTCTCTTTTATTCAATTTAGCAGGAAACATATTTCAACCCATTTATCAAATTGTCCCATAGATGTTTTATCTTTCTCAGTCGTAAATTTTATAACTGGCAGAAGGATTTTAAGAGCTGTTTCCCACTCAGTTCTCACTTTACTCCAACATATCCCTTATTTGTTTCTCTACGTACCTGTACCTTCATCTCTGGAAATGACACTTATGCTGCCGTTCAGTGGTGGACAGTAATTACGTACATTTACTCAAGTACTGTACTTATGTACAAATGCGTATATTCTGTTCATGCCAGTTTTTGTGTCTCCACCAAACTCAGACTGAGAGATTGTTCTTTTTTCTTCACTACAACAGCTTTTGTTACTTTACAAAGTAAGCATTGTACTACATATGAAGAGTTTATAAAATATAATGTTTTGTAATTAATTTAATTACCCAACAGTTTATTCAAGCACAGCTGAAACAATTAGTCGGTTGAAAAAATTTTTTATTGGCAGCTGTTTTGATCATTTGTCATTTTTCATGTCAAAACATTTCATCGTTCCAGCTTCACAAATTAATTATTTAAAAATTTTTGATGTAGTGTTAATAATATTGAGGTTTGGATTGACATGAACAATTTTAGGCCAATCTCTCCCTGTTCTTTCAAAAATCTTGAAATCATTAGTTGCTATCCAATCATATTGAGACTCGCAGAACATTTGAAATTAAATACAATCCGGTTTCAGTTCAGTGCATAGTACAGTAACCACCACTTTAAAAGCTATGGATGACTTCAACGAGCTATAGATAACAAATTTAGCTGTGTATCAATGTTCAGAGAACTTAGGGAGGCCTTCGGTACTGTGGACCATCCATCACTTGTTAATACCCTGCTGAGAGCAGGCATTGGATGCAAAGCGGCTAAATGGTTCCACAGTTACCTGACCAATCATTCACAAATGGATAAACATGGCAACGACATGTCAGATCCAGTCCTTGTTAGGAAAAGTGTTCCTCAAGGCTCAGTTTTGGGACCCCTGCTTTTCCTAGTTTACATTAATAATATTTGATGTTTAAATTCTGTAAGGATCATCTGTATGCAGATGACACAGTTCTGTACTCCTGTGCCCCCACAGCAGAGTTTGCCTTTTCAAATGTGCAGGCAGATTTTTATACCCTGCAATATGCTCTGTCAGATTTGAAGTTGCTTTTAAATTCCCACAAAACTAAAGTTATGATTTTTGCCACTGGGCGAACAAAGGTACCACCCCTCTCCATCACGACCCTGTATGGAGTCTGTATCCAGTCTGTTGATAATTACAAATATCTGGGTATCTGGTTTTACAAAAAAACTAAATTTTAAATACCATGTTGATTATCACGTTGACTTTTCTGTATAGGTGAAAGTCCTGCTTTTCCATGGCTTTAGAAAAACACTTAGTTGCTGGCCTTTTTCTGCCACAGATTGATTATAGGGACACTACCTACAGGTTTGCCTCTCTGTCCACCTTGTCCAAGCTTGACCCCCTTTATCACTCAGCTCTCAGATATACATTATTGTATATTGGACAGACTGGAAGGATGGTCATCCCTTCACTTGCAAAGATATGTTAGGTAGACTTCCAAATTATTTAAACAGGACATTTTTAACTTTACAAAGCATACATAATCTCAGGTCACATAATGGGCTACAGTTCAAAGTGCCTGCTATCAGAACCAGGGCAGGTACTCAAAGTATAAAAGGGGCACATGGAACAAGGATTTAAATAGGGCTGTTCTCAAAATATTGATACAGAAATATATCGTTATGTATTCCTTGCTGATATGCGTATACTGATGCTTCTGTATTGATACATCAGCGAATGGTATGACACAGTTTTGAAAAAGAAACACAGGGAATACCCAGCTCTTGCTTTAAACACTGTGGGCTGTTGATGGTGTTGCTGGGGATGTTGCTGCTGATACTACTGGTGGTGATCTGTGACTATCGATATTATAACAAACTTAGGAGATATTAGCTGATTAAACAAATATGTGACCATGACAAGATGTAAAGATTGCTGACAGTATTTGGAACTGGCTCACAGTGACTGACCTGCTGTAGTGCTGCAGCCGCTGCCAAGGCTGACTGCTACGATAAAATAAGAGGGAGATGGTCACAGAGACTGCTGCACACCAAAAGCTGCAGGTAGAGGAAATAAGATACCAGGTTCAAAACTGTGTGGGAAATAATCTGAGAAGGATACAGTACTGGGAGAAAGGACGAGGTCGGCCAAGGCAGGGTTAAGAGTGATACAAATCTATAGACAGGTGTGTGCGTGTGTCTATAGGCAATATTTTGATAATGATATATTTCACTGTGACATTTGGAATTCTTTATTACATTTATTTAATCTTGCTTTACCATATAAAAAGCATTCAAAATATATTTTCATGTCTGCCATCTCCTTTTACATGTTGCTACATCCCGAACCCCATTACCCATAAACGTGAAATAAAAACAAATAAAAAAAACAAATAAAGGAACAATTAATAAAAATAACTGACAATGAAAATAATAATAATTTGAAAACCTTTCAAAACAATTATTATATTTGATTCTATTCTGTTCGTGGCATCCAGCTATCTCTCTCTTCACTATCTCTCTTTCACTATCTCTGTCTTTCACTATCTGTCTTTCACTGTCTATTTTGCTATCTCTCTTTTAGTATCTCTGTCTTTCACTGTCTATCTTTCACTCTCTTTCACGGTCTATTTTTCACTCTCTTTGTCTTTCACTATCTCTCTATTTCACTATCTCTTTCACTATCTCTTTCACTGGCTCTGTCTTTCACTATGTATATCTTTCACTATCTCTGTCTTTCATTATCTCTTCAGTATCTCTTTCACTATCTCTTTCAATATGTATCTTTTCCATATCTCTTCACTATCTCTGACTTTCACCATCTCTTCAGTATCTCTTTCACTATCTTGGTCTCTTCCGTATCTCTTCACTATCTCTTTCGGTACCTCTATCTTTAATTATGTCTTTCACTCTCTTTTTCACGGTTTCTGTCTTTCACCATGTCTATCTTTCACTATCTCTGTCTTTCATTATCTCTTTAGTATCTCTTTCACTTGCTCTTTCTTTCACTATGTCTATCTTTAACTATATCTGTCTTTCACCATCTCTTCAGTATCTCTTTCACTGTTTCTGTCTTTCACTCTCTCTTTCACTATCTCTGTCTTTCACTGTCTTTTTCACTGGCTCTGTCTTTCACTATCTCTCTTTCACTCTTTCACTATTTCTTTCCCTGTCTGTGTCTTTCACTATCTCTTGTTCATTATCTTTCACTGGCTCTGTCTTTCACTAGGTCTATGTTTCACTATCTCTTTCACTATTTCTCTTTCACTGGCTCTATATTTCACTATCTCTCACCCAGAGCCTTAAAGCCAACCAACCCCGTGACATTGCAGGTTATCGTACTGCACAATGGTGGCACCCTTTCCGTTAAAGATATGACAGTTCTTCTTTTCTTTTGTCTTTTATACGTTTACATTTGTCATGTTTCTTGTATAATTGTTGATCGTAGTGGAAATCCATTGTGTAAATGATGTAAACTTGATTGACTGCTTCATTTCCCTTTAAGGTCTCAATGCCATCATTGTTCCAAACAAGTACACTTTTACTTGTGCTGTCCTGCTTTCGAGCAGGGACTTGTAGGTGGGAATTAAACGGACATTATGGTGAGAGGTGCAAATGGGGGTTTAGTATTACAGTCTACATGTTGCTTCAAACCAGGCAGCACAGCTTAAAGCTTGCAATGGTGACAGTCACCAAGCATTTCTATTGTCTGTGAAAACAATCTGCTGGAGTACTATTGGAGATACTTTGAAAATACTATGAACATATTCAAGTTCTGTTATTTCTTTATTGTGTTTTATCTGTAGCGCTTCATTTAATGTTGCTTCTATCACCACTAAAACAAATCCTGACTATATCATAAAGCACTGAAGTTTAACAGTGTGTGACTCCCTCTAGTGGACGTTGTGGAGTATTCTGTTGTCTTTGCTCCAAAGGTTTTTGTACAGAGTTTTGGTGTTTCCTGTCACTGTGGGCCGCAGAGCACAGTAGTACACAGCAGAGTCAGACAGCTGAAGCTTCTGGATCTTCAGAGGAACTGATTTGGAGGTGGAATCCAGTGTGGATGAAAATCTTTCTTTAAACTCTTCCTCTGTTTTCCCATCATCCTGTTGAACGCGGCTCAGTATGAATTTGGGGCTGTTGTCTCCA